ACATCACGGCCAAGGTTAAGATGGTGATGGCTTGTTTTGCATCATAAATGCCAGACAAATTTTTATCCACCAAGTCCACAAGGCTTCCATTTTTATATGCAACATAAGCCTGCAGTAAAATGATGAGGGTTTAGAATTCGAAGTGTGCATGTTCACTTTATAGTAGGAGAAATTACAAAACACCGTATGTCGTCCTGTCAGTTTTACTTACCATGTCCAAGAGATACTCACTCTCATGGTTAAATTTGTATCCTGCATTTTTCTTTCCACTAACAATTTCGAGTATAACCACCCCAAAACTGTAAACATCAACTTTGCTTGTTACAAATCCTTGAACTACATACTCAGGTGCCATATGTCCACTGCGTCAACAACAATAAAGCATAAATTCAAATTATATTTGCATAATGCGCCCGTCATAGTATAAGTTGAATTTCATGGTATTATTTTATACAGAGTTTCAGAAAGCGAAAGGTATTTGTTTTTTGTACACTTACTTTGGTGCTTCCACTTTGATGATCATAAGTTGTTCTTCCTCGGTATACAGGCTTGCCATTCCAAAGTCTGAGATCTTAGCATTAAGAGCTCCATCAAGGAGGATATTTTCAGCTTTGATATCCCTATGAACCATCTTGAGTCTAGGGTGCTCATGAAGATGATCTAAACCCCTCGCTATTCCCAGGCAAATGTTAAATCTATTTTCCCAATTAAACTTCAATCTGGACTTCGAGCCTGCAAGTCACATGAATGATGACCACTTTAGCATTCTATGCATATATTCCTCGAGTTTAGTCTAAAAACGACTTTGTTTTTGTCATAAACACTGTATCAGCACAGAAAACACAAGTCACTACAACAGAAAAACCTTTTCATGACACCTGATTTGCATCATGGAAGGCATTTAATGACGCGGGGTAAGTGTTGTAATATGCGTCATCGTCGAATGGGAGGGTCATGGGAAGTTTTCTCAAAAGACGACATCTAGTATGCATCACCTAATAGCAATGACGAGTGAACCGGATCTTATTTTTTAAAATAAAAGCAATACACGGTATGAAGAGGAAAATGTTGGCTAAGCTAAAATGAATGTAAGTATCTCTATTTGTACACAAAAAGAGGAAGTATACTGCTCCTATAATATAGAATAAAACAATTTGATGTTGTGCTTGAAAAATTAGAAAAGGGAGGAGAAAAGATGAATTACCAAAAAAAGCGTCTGCAATGGACAGATTTGGCATATATTCATAGATGAGCAAATGCAACCCTTCTCCAAAATAAGCATCCAACAATTGAACAAGGTTCTCATGCCTCAATGACTTTAAGGCATAGAATTCATTTAATAATTCCTCAACTTTTTCTTTTGAGTGAGTAGAAAGTCTTTTAACAGCTACAGTAGTTTGACCACCTTTCAGTTCAGCCTGCATCAACACAACAGACTAGTGTTATATATCTGAACACATTTGCAACATTCAAAAGATACCCCACCCTAATATCAAATTTCTACCCCAAAATAAGTTCACAATGTAAAAGTATACCTTATAAACCCTTCCAAAATGCCCTCTACCGATCTCCATTTTGCTGCTAAAGTTTCGAGTTGCACCTATTAATTCTTGAAGGGTAACATGTTTATCTTGGCCTATCTGTATTTCTGTTTCGGGAAAAATCAAAGATGACATGTTAACTAGGAAATAAGAATTCTTGAAAAAGGGCATGGTGCAGTGTCGTTGTAGCTTCATTCACCTCTCAACTCTCTTTTCCCCAGCCAGCCCATTTTCCACATGAAAGCTAATAGAAGCAATAGAACAACTACACTTGAAGGTAGAGTAATAGTCAATGCTTTCTTCAATTTTCGCCACAATGCAGAGCGTTGGGGAACTTCAAAGTGATATTTCATCGAAGGAGGGGATAACAGCAAGAGAAAAGTCAAACTTCTTTAAAAGACGTGTCAAATTAATTCAGTATATATGCAACCTTTTTGGTAAATTAATGGGGCACACACATGATGACCATATAAGCCAAAAGAAACTAAAGTCGTAGCCTTTTGAATCACCTGGAGTTATGGAAATAGCAGAAATGAGAGGTCCATTCAAAGTAGGCGGGTCGTCTGCACAACCCTTTCCAGCCCAGTAGAAGAAAATCTCCAATACACTATCATTAACATCAGCTTCGAAAGATCTGGTTAGAGGTACATCTGGACCCTTTGCCTCTTTTGCGATGTCGAAATTCATTAGCGTTCTATTATCCTACAACAAACGCTTCTTTTACACTAGCAGACAGTAAATATGTGCAGGAACAAAACTAGTTGGACCCATTCTTTGTATTATTGCTCTAAGGTCACACCTCTAATGATGGTACACAAGATTTCAGTTGATGTTACAAATAGCAGTACTCAATTTAGTGGCAAATAATAGGATTAATTGAATGACATCAGCTCTTACCTGGATATAAACATCAAATGCCCGTCTTTTTAGTATACTATATGATTCCTTCTCCCTGAATACTATTTCAGCAAAGTGAAGGGTCACATTATATTTGCCTTTGTGTAAGCAAGCATAATAGCTTAGGAAGACAGGGGCAATCCGAGCATTTAAATATAAGTCTGACTCAGGAACATGAATTCCACATGACTGGGTCTGTATGGAATTACTAGAATTGGACTCCGGTGATAGGTACTGTCCAGAAAGGCTATAACCCCAGGTTTTGGATGGACTAATATAATAGAGTGAAGTTGAGTTATCTGCTTCATAATACTTGTCACCAACAGTTAATCCCTCACCACCACAATTTATAAACAAGGAACGAGCTGCAAATGTTAGTCAGAAAGGGATAGATTAGATAAAATAAAGTGCAAAATAGGTACTGGAATATACTCATTACACTGTGACTACCAGTTTTCTTGTTTAGATTGATAAAGTTCAGATTATACTTTATCATGCTTATGTAACAGTGCTGTTTTTTCTTTTATTTATTTACAGTTTTACATATTCTATTGCCAATTTTCAATCAGGAATCCTTTAGGTAAAGTTATGTGTGATTGTATACATGTCTGAAGAACACCAAACTCACATTTAGATTTTTGTCCAGGACAATGCGTATGCATGCGTTTCTTTGGATCCCTGAATAAACCACCGAATTTGTAAGAAACGGCCCTTGGCTTTTCTTATACTAGAACAGATAAAAATATTAACATACACAAATAGTTTATCTGGATCGGTTGAACTGCTGCAGCAGGAAAACAAGTTCCTGAAATGTATGGAAAACGATCTCATCATAATTCCACATGCGACTAGATTGGTAACAATAGAAAAAGAAAATTAATGCCAATTCTTACAGATGATCTCGCTTATCGTCTGGCACTACGAAGCTAACTTTGGAAAAATTATTGTACGACAGATCCCTGAAAAGGCATATGGTCAAATTTCATAGGTAATGGAATGTGGGAACATAATAAGCTCCTAGAAAATGATGGTGGCTTAGAAAAGGATTTTTCTTTTCCATACAATTAAGCATTCCGGTGTCAAATCTAAGTAGCTGTCTGATGAAAGAAGTGTTTTAGTATCTGAATTACTGCATGAAACTTTTTGTAGAATGATCATTTCACAACAACTATTCATATAAATATTTCATTGCATGGATATGATTGAAGTTAAGAAGACACTCAAATATCAGCTCAAAATTAATACAGAATTCAAATAGCGCCTTTTTGGTCTTAATCAAGTGCACAATGGCTTTAAGAAACCAGCATTACTACTGACAACTGTCACTGAAAAAGATAACTACGATGCTACCAACAATTCCTCCTTATAGTTTCCTTTTATTTGCTACGATGCTACCAATCCTTATATGTATGCGCACACAAGGTTTCAGACTGATATTGTATGTACATACTCCGTCCAACCGAAGGTCAATCCAGTATATTTGAATTTGCCATCAATTGCAGGTGAAAAAAGCAACGATCCTAATTCTAAGAAATCTCAAAAGTTAAAGTTCCACTTAGTGAACTTGAGTCATAAACATCTTTAAACTGGTCTTACTTTAATCCCAAAGGTGTTAAAGGAAATTATGAGATACTAAGCTTTCGGACAATCATTGTTTAAGAAATAAAGATCAATTATCAAGATACCAAGCTTTCGGACTTACTTGACAGCCAATGCATGAAGATAAAAATAGCTGTACATAGTTTAAGAATTTGAATATAGAAGCTTACAATCTAGTCTTGACTGCACCAACCCAAGCAGGGATTGTGTCACTAAGTCTATTTTTTGCCAAGGACCTGAGGAGAGAGAAAGTTAATAATAGAATACTAACATCAGCAAGAGTTCGGTGGTCTTTTGTGTAGCAAAAACACACGAATTTCATTCACTTACAAGTGAGTTAAATTTAAACCTTTCATGGATTGTGGGATTCGTCCGGTTAAATTGTTAAAGCTCAAATCCCTGTTAAGAATACATAGAGGCATTAACAACTTGGGAACTTAGTTAACTAGTCTGTGAGATGAATTGTATCAAAGTACATTCAAAAGCAGGAATTGAAACAAATCAGTCAAAAGCATAAACATAAACCATTACTCTTTGCATAAAGCATAAACATAAACAACTTGGGGTCTTGTGAAGGTGTTGTGTGTGTGTGTGTGTGAGAGAGAGAGAGAGAGACTCAC